TAGATATAAGATTCATAAGCACAAAGATGGTATTAAAAACTGAGATTGGATGAGAGCCCCTAAGGAATGGTAGGTAGAGAAGAGGACTGAGACCTAGGGCATTCTAACACACCAAAACCAAACCCACTGCCATCTAGTCAATTCCAACTCATAACGACCCTATAGGACAAAGCAGAACCGCCCCATGGGGGTTCGAAGGCTGTAGCAAACTGCCTCTCCCATGGAGCAGCTGGTGGGTTTGAACTGCAGACCTTTTCTATTAGCAGCCAGATGCCTTAACTACTGCACCACCAGAGCTCCATTCTCATGCTTAGAGGTGAGGGAAATGGAGAACCATTAAAGGAGCCTGGAAAAGAGTGGCCAGTGAGGTAGGAGAACCAGGAAGGAGTGGTGTCCCACTGGCCAAGTGAAGGAAGTACTTTAGGATGAAGAGAGTGTTGGTAAAATGAGGACAAAGAAAGGATGATTTGACAACATCCAGATTACCATTGACCTTGACAAGATGGTTTTGATGGAGTGATGGGGATAAAAACCTGAGTGGAATGGGTTCAGGAGAGAATGGGAGGTGAAGAAATGGAGACAGCAAATATTTTTAAAACTACTTTAATAAATTTTATATTAAGGGAGCAGAGAAATGGAATAATAGCCAGGGGTGGGTGTCAGATCAAGGGAAAGTGTTAATTTGTTTGTTTCAGATAGGAGATATTAGACATCATGCTTCGAATGATCCATTTTGTTAAAGAGGGGAATGGTTTTTAATTTGTCTTCAGCAAAGCTTATTTCTTACCTGCTTTAACAAACTCGTGGGATGGTAGTCTGGTGTGACGCGGGAAAGAAGAGTCGGGGAGGCCAGGGAAAATAACAGGCTTCTTGTGCTCACTGTTCCCAGAGACAGGGAGGCACAGCCTCCATGACGCAGGGGCACATGGGATTACACCCAGGGACAAGGCAACAAGTCGGAATTGTAGGCAGGGCCTTATGTATGGCAAGCAGGGCAAGGCCAGCTAGGTTTCACGGATTTCCTGGGGATTGGGATTTTGAATAATGCTTCGGAGGCATAGAGGCTGTCCCTAGTTGTTGGGTAACTGGCTCCAGGCTATTATGATGGGTGCACAGTGACCCATGAGTGTGAGAACCTGATAAGGGGAGTGGTTAGAAAGTGGACTTAATCAGCTGCTCAACAAGGGGAATGGACTTGCCTCCAGACAGGGCTTCAAAACTGTGTCAGAACAGCATAAAAGAAGAGTTTTGAAAGCATCCCTCACGAGCAATTTACCTATCTGTTTCTGCAAGGTGCCTCCAAGGCACCACCAACTCGGGACAAATTTTCTTGTTAATTTTTCCACTCGCGAGTTCCACATCAAGCAGGTAATACCCATTTGGACTCCAGAACCTCACAAAGCACAGCCTTGGATATGACTGTCACACTTAGGATATTTCCCATCCAAGACCCTGGCAAACACATACTTTCTTTACCTTTGCCCTGGACTTACACGCAAAGTTTACTAGTCTCTTCTCACTGAAGTTGCAGTCCTTGGAGGGTCACAACAGGTAACCAAGTTGCAACTTCCCAGCTCTCATAGACCAAGGCTTATAGTATGAAAACTTGGGCCCCCGGCCATCACTGGTCCACTCTATCCTGGTCCAGCTCTCCCTCACTGCTGGCATCTGGGGAGTTCCTATTCTTTCTTGCATGCCCAGCATATAGTTAGAAAAAAAAAAAAAGAAACACCCAGCCTTGGTTTTATTTTAGCCAGCATCTCTTGGTGTTGGTGGCAATAAAGTTTCAGCACTCGCTAGACCACCATTTTGCTGGAACCAGCAGTCTTTTCCCTCACTCTTCACCTGACTAATTCCTAGTCACCTCTTTGGTCTCAGCTTAAATGTCGCTTCTCAGAGAGGTATTCCCTAACTCTCCATCCCGCTATAAGCTAGTTTGCTCTTTTGTTCTGTTCACAGCTGGCTGCCATTGAGTCACTCCAGTGTGTCAGAGTAGAACTGCACCCCACTGGGTTTCCAAGGCCATGACCTCTGGGAAGCAGATCACAAGGCCTTTCTCCCAAGACACTTCTGAGTGGGTTCAGACTCTCAGCCTTTTGATTAGTGGTGCTTAACCAGTGTGCCAGGCGGGGAACCTGTTGTGGTTACCTAGTGCCACTCTGACAGGAAACATACCACAAATGATAATGACCTTAACAAACAGGAGTTTATTCTTACAATTTGGAGCCTTTAAGTCCAAGTTCAAAGTGCCAAGTTCTAGGGGCTGGGGGAAAGCCCCTCAGCTTTGGGGTCCAGCTCTGCCTCCTGCTCCCGACCCACTGGAGCTAGAGGCGTTTCTTTACTCAAACAGCTGCTGGCTGCTGAGGCTGGAAACCCCAAGGTTGACAAGTAAAATGGCACAGTTCTGATGTTACCAAACCACACGGCAGGCCATTAATTCAAGTCCATTGTAAGTCCCAAGGTCGGCAGAGCATGGCAGGCTGCTGAACAACGACACGGCTACATGCAGGGTCCAAGTGTACTATAAGCTAGAGACTATTCCCCAAGGCTTCTCCTTATATACAGGAAGCAGACCACATCCCAAAAGCAGCTACCCAGCTGCTTGTGGTAGATCCCACCTTGGAGTTGATTGCCAGTCTTATCATGGGGAATAACTACCACCAGCTGCCCAGCCAAGTTGACATACAAACATAACCACCACAGAACCTTACATTATTCATAGCAGCTTCTTCTTAGCTTACTCCTTAACTTGTTATAACTTCTTATGCAATGCAAAAAACGCAACCATTGCTGTGGAGTCAGATCCGACTCATAGCGACCCCTCCTTGGGTTTCAGAGGCAGTATCACTATGGAAGTAGATTGCCCAACCTTCCTTCCAATTAGTGCCTGGTGGGTTTGAACCACCAGCCTTCTGGTTAACAGTCACATGCCTTAGGCACTACGCCACCAGAGCTCCCCAGCACAAAGTAGAAAGCCTGAATTATAGAAGATGCGCAATAAAGTTTGCTAAGTAGACAAACCATTTTCTAAAAAGCTAATAACAGTAAACCAAAAAAAAAAAAAAAAAACCTCATTGCCATCAAGTCAGTTACAACTCATAGTGTCCCGCTTTGAGTTTCTAAGTTGATACATCTTTATGAAAATAGATCTCCCCATCTTTCTTCTGCAGAGCATCTGGTGGGTTTGAACTGCTAACCTTCTGGTTAGCAGTCAAATACCTTAGGCATTCTGCCACTTGTTGTGGTGGTTATGTACCGTCGAGCCGGACCCGACTCATAGCGACCCCTCCTTGGGTTTCCAAGGCAGTATCACCATGGAAGTAGGTTGCCCCATCTTCTGATAGTATGGGATTAAATGGTGGTGATGGTAGTGTTGTTAGGTGCGGTTGAGTTGGCTCCAGCTCATAGCAACCCTGTGTACAGCAGAGCAAAACACTGCCTGGTCGTGTGCCATCCTCACAATCCTTGCTATACTTGAGCCCATCATTGCAGCCACTGTGTCAATCCATCTTGTTGAGGGTCTCCCCCTTTTTTTCTGATCCTCCACTTTACCAGGCATGATATCCTTCTTCAGGGAATGGTCCCTTAAGACCACAGTAGGTGAGATGACGTCTGGCCATTCTTGCTTCCAAGGAGCATTCTGGCAGCACTTCTTCTAGAACAAATTTGTTCATTCTTCTGGCAGTCCATGGTACTCTCAGTATTCTTTGCCAGCACCGCAACTCAAAAGCCTTAACTCTTCTTAACCAAAAACCAACCAAACTCACTGCCATTGAGTTGGATCCGACTCATACTGACCCCTCCTTGGGTTTCCAAGGCGGTATCACGACGGAAGTAGATTGCCCAATTTTTCTTCCAAGGAGTGGCTGGTGGGTTTGAACCGCCAGCCTTCTGGTTAGCAGTCATATGCCTTAGGCACTATGCTACCAGAGCTCCTCAACTCTTTTAGGTCTTCCTTATTCATTGTCCAGCTTTAACATGCATATGAGGCAATTGAAAACACCATGGCTTGGGTTGTTGTTGTTGTTGTTGTTGTTGTTGTTGTTATGTGCCATCGATGGCTTGGATTAGGAGCACCTTAATCTCCGAAGTGACATCTTTGCTCTTCAGCATTTTAAAGCAGTCTTTTGCAGCACATTTGCCCAGTGTAATACAGTGTCTGATTTCTTCACTGCTGCTTCCATGGCTGTTGATTGTGGGATCCAAGTAATCTGAAATCTTTGACAACTCCAATCTTTTCTCCATTTATCATGATGCTGCTTATTGGTCCACTTGTGAGGATTTTCGTTTTCTTTATGTTGAGATGTAATCCATACTTTAAGTGCTTCAAGTCATCTTCACTTTCAGCGAGCAAGGTTGTGTCGTCTGCATATTGTAGGATATTAATGAGTCTTCCTCCAATCCTGATGCCATGCTCTTCTTCATATAGTCCAGCTTCTCGGATTATTTGCTCAGCATACAGATTGAATGAGTATGGTGAAAGGATTCAACCCTGACACACACCCTTCCTGATTTTAAACTATGCAGTATCCCCTTGTTCTATTCGAATGACAGCTTCCTGGTCTGTGCACACGTTCCTCATGAGCACAGTTAAGTGTTCTGGAAATCCCATTCTTCTCAATGTTATCCACAATTTGTTATGATCCACACAGTCAAATGCTTTTGCATACTCTGTAAAACACAAGTAAACATTTTTCTGGTATTCTTTGCTTTCAGCCAAGATCCATCTGAGATCAGCAATGATATTCCTTGTTCCACGTTGTCTTCTGAACCTAGCTTTCATTTCTAGAAGTTTCCTGTCAATATACTGCTGCAACTGTATTTAATTTTAGAAGACACCATTTAATATATTCAAAAGTATTAAATGATATCTCCTAAAATTGAAACCTAAATATTTTCTGTGAAGACTGTATTCTCCGAAAAGAAAATGCTTTTAATGGAACAACAATTGTTATTTTCGTTGACTCATCAGTGTTTAGTAACTATGTGTGTCTTTTCCTCTTTAGAATGGAGATCTCTTCTCATCAGTCTCACCTCCTGCAACAGTTGAATGAGCAGCGCAGGCAAGACGTATTTTGTGATTGCAGTATTCTGGTTGAAGGCAAGGTCTTCAAAGCACATCGGAATGTACTATTTGCTAGTAGTGGCTACTTTAAAATGCTTCTTTCTCAGAATTCAAAGGAGACAAGTCAGCCAACCACAGCTACATTTCAAGCTTTCTCCCCGGACACTTTCACAGTTATATTGGACTTTGTCTATTCAGGAAAACTGTCTCTTACTGGTCAGAATGTCATAGAAGTGATGTCAGCTGCTAGCTTCCTTCAGATGACTGATGTCATTAGCGTATGTAAGACTTTTATTAAATCTTCATTAGACATTAGTGAGAAAGAAAAAGATCGCTATTTCAGTCTCTCAGATAAAGATGCCAATTCTAATGGTATCGAACGTTCCTCCTTATATAGTGGTGGCTGGCAAGAAGAACGCAGTTCCCCACCTTCTCACGTAAGCCCAGATCAAGGAACGGGGGCAGTGAGTGGGAAGTCTTGGAATAAGTACAATTACCATTCAGCTTCCCAAAGGAATACTCAACAACCTTCGGCCAAGCATGAACAAAGAAAAGATGCCATCAAAAAGTCCAAACATTTGAGGTTGTCACAGCCTTCTGAAGTTGCTCATTGTAAGTCAAGCAAACGAGAAGCACGAACATCTGATGCCTCCAGCCACATTTCCCAGTCGGGGGAACAAGCACAAACTGATGCTGAAATGGACTCAACTCCCGCTGGCTATCAGTACCGTCAAGGATCTGACGTCACACAGAGAAGCTTTCCAGGTACCCAAAAGAGAGCACAAATGCCCTCCATTCAGTTCCCAATCTTACAGACATCAACCCTATCTCAACATGCTCTTAATTATAGGTGTTATGGGTCGTAGAACCATTGGTAAGAAGTGGTTTTGTTTTGTTTTTTTAAGTCATACTTCTCTAATGAAATTTGTTTCTCAAAACATATTTTAAAATTTTCATTTAAAATAATAATAAATTTAAGGACAGCCAAAATGATAGCATATTGAGGGTCAAAAATTATGATTTTCTACATTTTTATCTGTAGGTGGTCAGATTACTATTAAATGTTTAAAGCTGTTTTCTATTATTCAATCCCTAAGACATTTATTTTCATTTTAAATAGTTTTTCCCCCGAGTATTCACTCAAAGTGAATTTTTTATAGAAAAGTGAAATAGAGCAACCATGCATATTTGCAGATTCACAGACTCACAATCTAGTTTAGAAAAAATTATTTTAGAAAAATATGTAAAAATAAAAGGAATAATATAAACATCTGTGCATCCATTTATTACCCAGCCCCAACTTTCAACTCAACTGCCAATCTTGTTTCACTTATCAACCTACCCCATCCCCTCCCTATAGGAGCTCAGGTGGTACAGTGATTAAAGCCTTTGGCTGCTAATCAGATCAGTGGTTTGAACCTACCAGCCATTCTATGAGGGAGAGATGAAGCAGTCTGCTTCTGTAAAGATTTACAGCCTTGGAAACCCTATGAGGCAGTTCTGCTTTGGCCTATCGGGTCACTGTAAGTCAGCATCAGCTCACTGGCAGTGGGTTTGGATCCCTTCCCTGTATTATTTTTAAGCAGATTTCAGATATCATATGTGTTCATCTATAAAAACTTCAGAATGTACCTCTAAAATATGTTGTTGTTGTTGTTAGGTGCCTTGAGTCCATTCAAAAACATAAACTCTTCCCTGGTCTTTCTTATTCATTGTCCAGCTTTTACATGCATATGAGGTAACTGAAAATAACATGGCTTGGGTTAGGCACACCTTAGTCTTCAAAGTGACATCTTTGTTCTTTAACACTTTAAAAAGAGGTCCCTTGCAGCAGATTTGCCCAGTGAGATAACAACATGTGATTTCTTGACTGCTGCTTCCATAAGCATATAATTCTAGGTTATTTAAGTTTAATTTTAATAATGAAGATGCTATTTTATAACTGTGAAATTAATACTTTGTATAGAATTTGAGATGTCATGTTTTGTTAAATATATTTTCACCATAATAAAAATTTAAAATTACATTTTAAACACATATGAATTTCAAATCAAAAAATTAAAGATCCTTGACTTTTTTTATTTTTAGTTTTTAAACGACTTTATTGAGATATAATTCACATACCATATAATCTACCCAATTAAAGTGATTAATTTACACAGTTGCGTAACTGACTCTACAATCAATTTTAGAACATTTTCATCATTTCCAGAAGAAATTCTGTACTCATCAGCAGTCATTCCCCATTTCCCCATCCTCCCAGTCCTAGTTGTTTTTTTTAATTGTGATTTGGGTGAAAATTTACAGAGCAAATTCACTTTCCATATAGCAGTTCACATATATTTTGTCTCATGACATTGACCACAATTTACCACAATGCAACAGCTCCCCTCATACTTCCTCCCGATAGTTACCTTTTCCCTGTGTCCACCCCTCCATGCACTCCTGCCCCCTGAGCTGTCTCCCTGTGCATAAGCAGCCCCTCTTTCTCCCATGATTGTTCTCTCCAAGGAGTGTATCT